ATGGCCAGAAGAAACGCCAAAAGAAGAAATCCGAAAAATAATTTTGGAACATTGAGAATGGAGCTTGAGTAATTGGCAGATCGGGTCGTCCAAAAATGTTGATGGATAGTTATAAACTCCAAGTCCTGGGCTCAATACTATTCCGTAGCTTAGGCAAAAAATGTACCCCTCAAGGGTACGAAATCTGCCCCTCCAGGAGGGGTGCAGCACAAGAACACTTCGCAGAAAGCCTTTGTTTTCTAATTTAAAGAATAGGCTTGATTTTGCAACCAAATATAACATTTTTGGCTCGGATGGATTTCAAAAAGTATTGAGCAAGCCCAATGCAGCATTGGATCTAAAAAACTTGACACCAACCGTTACTCATAGAGGTGGTAACGTGATGGCCTGGAGCTATATGGGCCTAGCTGTTGTCTTTATAAACAATACAATTATCCAAAAGGATATCTTAAGGACATTGCGACCCAGCTACAGTTAGACTACCTTTCTGTTTCAACAAGATATCGACCCAAAAACACCTCAAATTTATTAAAGAAAGCTTGCTTTACAACTGCAAGCAATAATATACACCAGATCACTGGAGCCAGTCACAGGAACTCCAAGTGCACCGGCCGAGCACCATGTAGGCACCCTAATTGCGGCAATAAGAAACACCCGGGCGTATTTGTCACAGCGATTGTTTTTTGTTACTGCCGAAAGGTTGCGAGCGATTGCTTAAAAAAATCTTTTTGGTGATCCCACACACACGAGCATAGATCGGGCGCTGGCAATTTGTTTGAATGTATACATTTTTTGTGTATATACATTTATTTATTTAAGAAGGGTAAAAATAAACGCCCAAAAATTGGAAATAGCAACAAATAAATTGTAGCAACACTTAAGGATTTCTTAACAAGAAACTAACTTTATGATTTTAATATTTTAATGTATTTGGCTTTCTTTTCATTTTTTCTGATTTTAAAGTGAAATAACAAATTAAAATACTTGTTTTATATTTATATGTATATATGCATTTTGTTTTTTATAAAATCAGACGGCTGACATCTTTCTTAGACATCAAGGATCGCTAAGTTTTCAAGAACAAAACAAAAAAGATTATGACGTCAAAAACACACGGGTGTTATTTAAAACACCCAGGTGTTTTTTTTTACTGTTTGCTGCTTTTATATCAGTTTTGAGTGCGAGTACCGTAATGATCAGGTGCTCAGCAGAGTACTTGAAACGCTCAGACGATTTTGTGTGGGTGTTTGTCTTTTACCTTGATGCTTGGTGGTGAGTGGGTCCGACACCCAAATTTAGTTGGGTGCAAGTAGAGTGCTAAAAAATGCTACCCCTGCATTAGTCTGACATACACCTACACCTGATACCGATATTGAATCGGTACAGAAACAATTCGACTGGGACCCACAGCCGCCTTCCTCATTATGCCGATAGACTAAGACTTTTGGACCTGCCCTCCTTAAGGATCGTCGGACCTGCCACGGCGTCATGTTCCTTCATAAACTAATAAATGGACATATTTTTTCCAGTCAGCTTCTAAGTTAAATACGTTTCTCAGTTCCTTCAAGGCCATCCCGTTACTTTCGGCCTATAGCTTTGGATATTTGTAAAACAAATTTTGAGGCTCATGATCCTTTTCGCGTTTTATGTTCGACAGTACAGACTTTTTGTTGTATTTTTAAATGCCCTTAGATTTCAATAAAAACAATATCTGAAGACACCTATCCTTTCCTCTGACCACCTGATGTGAATCGGATCACTCTTTATCCGGTCTGAGGTAAGGATATGGATTTATAATGGCAGATGGTCTCTTAAGGAAGTTTAACGGTCTGATTGCACAAAATTACAGAAAATGGTACCAAAGTGTTGGTACATAGGATGCAACGCTGTCTTGAAGCAATTATTGCTCCAATAGATGTCGAAATATTAAGAAGATAGGAGTGGTTTTTTTTTTTTTTTCAAGCGTACTTAAACTTGTTTGACATAAAATATTTGTATTTTTATGTTTTTGAATATTACCATTTTGTTTTTGTATTAAAAAAGGAACTGAATAACTTTTTATGTTACTAAATATTTAGCGTACCCAATGTTGTTTTTTACATGAATAAAGTCGCAGAACTAGAATGTACTTAAACTTTATTTGCCTACTGAATGTACATATGCTGCCCAACTATTTTATAAACTTTATTTTATACAACTTTCATATATTTCCTGTTATATTTTCTATTAATTTGAAAACCGGCCGACTATGGCTACGTTCAGCAGAACGCATACCTTAAAAAAGGCGCGATATTCCAAAATGTTTGATAAATTGGTCCAAGCTATAATTTTAAAGTAAAATATCGATGTATCGTAGATGTTAAAAATTATGGTTTAGGAAGTTCCCCATTGCAATACATTCCCCGACGTTGCCACCATCATTTTAATATCTAAAACCTTTTAAATACAATTATTAATTCATTTTATAATCATCTATAAGCACAAAAATAAATATGAAAGATGAAAGATTTTATATAGTATAGTACTGTTAAACTTCATTGATCCTGCAAAAATAAAAACACTTCAGAAAATGTAAATTTTAGTCCTATTTTTTTTATATTATGCCCATATTTATGCATAATATGTGGACAAAAAATTAGAAAATTATATTATGAAGTGACAGTCAAAAAATATTGATTAAAGCAAATTAAGAAACATTTTAAAATATCAACTTCAGTTGTCTTCTAAAAATGTCAGTTGATTGTTGGCGGGAAGTTAGAATATATGTTCCAAACCGATTATTTGTACGATAGCGCAATGTATCATGAGTGTTCACCAGAACACACTTGATCACTGATTACTGATCCATAACTGATCAGTGATCAGGTGTTCTGTTGAAAGCAGCCATGGGTTTGTGTGGAACTGCCTAATGTTTTACCAAAGAGGTTATGGCTTTGATTTGTTTATAAAAAATCTGCTTATTTAACATCAAAATACATACATATTCGAAAAATGTTTACTACGATGTAGTCAAAATTCCAAGTAACAATAAGGGAAAGAAATCACATATTGTGAAAAACTAAAAAAAAAAAATATTTCAAAAGTAACACTAAAATTTTTGAATTTTTGAAACATTTTGAGCTAAAAAAACAATCTAAGAAGTATTAATAATTTGGAGTTAAACAAATCCATTAAAATATGTATACATATGTCCACAGTGGTGCACACTTATTAACTATTCTTCTGTTCTAACCTTTTTAATGAAAATAGTTAATAGTACATACATATGTGTTTACATACATAAGTACATCGATTAGATATATTTAATACTACTAATATAAAAGTGAGTGACAAATAAGTAGTAGCAGTGTATGCGGAATGTAAAGTAATGTACAAACACATTTTCTTATATGTATGTAATTCTCCGGACGATGAAATGTGGATCTTGTACCTCAACATCCGTCGGTAGTAATAAAAAAAAATAATGAACGATGATTGCTCTAAGAGCTGCACCCCCACAGAAAAAAGTAACAACAATGAACACAAACACATAAGCATGAACATGTGTATGTATGTAAATATGTACATACATATATATATATATATATATATATATATTTAAAGGATAGAAAGAGATGCTTGTCCCACTACATTGGTACATTGTTTTATCATATTCCACAGCTCCAGCTCCAAACCTTTCCCCTTCTCGCTCTTTCGTAATTACCACTCTGCGTGGCAATAATTACCCCATTACGGACGACGACTCTCAGTCTCTTTCTCTCCCATCTTGGTCGCATATGTACATACATATGTACATATGTATACGTACATACGCATGATTCGATTTTGTTGCTTCGGGTTTTGCGATGAGACCAATCTGAAAGAGAGCGCGTGAGCGTGAGAGAGCGCGACAGTAAACACAGACTGTTGCCAGTGGTGGCCGCCCGTATAACCTTTATTCTAGAAAAAGCGAGATAAAAATTAAATATAAAAACATTTGAAAATCAAGGTACACTTAATTTTTACAAACATACAAAATTTTGTTCGTGATTTTAATTGAAATAAAAGATATTCATATTTCATTGTTTTTATTGTTTTTAATAGTTGGTTTAATTTATTTGTTAAAGGTGTCGTACTTTCTCCGCTGTATATAATGAACCATAATCAATTAAATATAAAGAATGATACTATGATGATCCTACTTTTTTAAGCTATAGAAGGGTGTCTATTTCTATAAGGGTGTCTATTTACATATCTTCAGATCTAGCCTGAAATTAGCTAAGCTGGCAACACTGGTAAGCCCACAGAGTAAAGGTAAGACTCACTCGCAGCTCAGTCGAAAAAACAACGTCGAATGAATCAGATGCGGGTCGGCTGGTGAGTTCCCGAACAACCAGACGCAGAAATGCAACGGTGAACCTGTGATTTGTGATTTGTGACTAGTGAATGTGACTCCCATAAATGCAACAAAAAATAAAAATGATCGGAATCATGTACCAAGGATTGTAAATATCACAACAGTCATTTTCGGTCCTGGTGTCCGTGTCGTTATAGTACCGCTGTACCGTCTGGCTACCTGGCTGCACTCCCTTCACTCGTACATACATATGTTTATACGTATTGTGTTTGTTCACAAAAAAGTGATGATGATAAAGCGGAAAATGAAAAGAAAAGACAGAATAGATCAGCATTACTTCCTGTTCTCACTCGGTTCCACATTTCGGCTGCAAATTGGATGTTCGCACCTGACTGCCAAAAAAACGGCAAAATATACCCTACATACTGTTGCAGTTGTCTGTCGATAATAACAATACATTAACCCTTGTTAATGCACATATGCATAGCAACAACAAACAAACGGACAGGATCAGAATTTTATTTCATTTCAATAAAAGCTAAACGAGGAGCTAGATTCGCTCTATTCCATTCTAATTGTATGAGAACTGTCCGAAACTTAACGGAACGAGTAAAGCCGAGCCAGAAAGCCGAAGCCGTAACACAAACCGAACAAGGGTGCGCGCAAAAAAACAAAACAAAAAAAAAAAAACGCTCTGCCTGTGTGTGTGTGTGTAGGTAAAAGGGGTGCTATACATACACCGATGATGTTCTCTATGAAATGCTTCTTTCGACCATTTAATGAGCACGTGGTCCACGAAGAGAGGAGAAATGGAAGTACATATGCAAAAAACAGCGACGCAGCTTTTTTTTTTTCTCTCTCTCTCTCTCTGTCTGTATGGCTATCTCTGTCATGCTGTCACTACGCTCTCCCACTCTCTGTCTGATGAAAACACACACACAGACACAGATAGAAAATATATGACAAAGTGTTACCGTGCATAAAAAAGAGACAACTGTCGTCTCCAACTAGGAGTAAAAGTGTTGATATTAAAAATATGAAAAAAATAATGCTGAAAGCCTGTAGCTGAGCAAAAAAAAAGTTTGGCAAATTAAATCGCGGGGCGTGTGGTCCACCCACACTAGTACACTTTCCCGTTACCAGTTACCATATGTACATGTATATGTATGTATTCGGATATTTAGATTATACTTTTTCACGAGAAGAAAGAGGTCCGCTACTAATGCTTATACATCCCTGTAAATACAAAGATAATTAGTTCTGGCTTACTCAGCCGACGTTCCCGTTAGTGTCAAAAGAGAGATACTATTTTGCTTCAAAGGATATTTTAATATCTGATGCATTTCGCGATGCATTAACAATATCAGTAGCCCAATGCTTGAAAGATATATCCTATACCGATCTATTCGATAGGATCGAATTCTTCTTGGTTTAAAATACCGAGACAAAGTTTATAATTTCAGAAGTCAAGTTTGTAAGGAATTGAAATATTACTCGTCTCCAGAAACTATACTATGTATTTAGAAAAGTTTGTGTAATTATTTTATATGCCAAAATGGCTTAGAACCGATTAAATCATGGTCGGAACAAGTGAAAAGTATTAATTTATAAGCTCTGTTAACTATAATCTGTGAACTTAGTTATATTCCTAATCTAAAATATTAATTCAATATAATACTCCCTTAGGTGTCGCAATCCATTAAATAAACACGCGCTCGATTTAAAAGTTCCTAATAATATTTAAGTGTAAACATAAAATATAAAAAAAGTACAAAACTAGAGCCCCATAAAAAATAAGTTCTCAACTAAACAACCGAACAAACAATAACAGGAAAAAATACTCAAAAGATTGAATAAAATAAAATAAAATAAAAAATGCACATAAATACAAAAAAAAAATATACAGAAGGCTGAAAACAACAACAATAAAAACCATCTTCAAATGCTTTCGTTCAAAGGACTAATGTTCCAGACAACTGAAAACGAAGGTTTTGACGGTTCCTAAAGGCCCCTTAAGTGAGTTCACAAAACGTAATTATTTTAAGTAATTAATTTAGGTATTTATAAGCTCTTATTTTAAGGCTATTTTGGAGTTTATTTATATTTATTTATTTTTAAATTAGTTTACGATAATAAAAAATATATATAATAAATAATAAAATAGTTATCCAAAGACGAACTTCCATTCAATTATATACTCTCCCTAGCGAGATTAGTATAAAATACAATTTCATCGGTTGAAAATTATGATCGTCTCGCAAATCAGAAGGCGTATGCGTCGCAATTGAGGACCACAGAATCGAAAGCCGAACGTTCGCAACGTCTTTCTGAAAATCGTGAACGAATCCTACAAATACTGGAGAACTAATCTAGCGACGAACGTTCGCTTCGTTTGGCTGAACGATAAAAAGATCGCTCCAACGACTATCAAGTGACGAAAGCTCTTAAAGCCTTGCTGGTAATAGAGTAACGGACTGGCAAGGGCCGTGAATTTAGCGCCGAACGCTCGCAATAACAACGGTCGTTAACAACTAGGACGAGTATATAGAATTGTCTTTTTCATATAACTTACAAGTGGGCAAGATTGCGATAAATTGAATTTTGTATACATTTGTATATCACAATTTTTTCTTTTCTCCAATTAGAACAATTCCAGAAAAAAAGAACAAAAATTTTTAGCTGTAAAAAATTATTACTTTATCTTCTTAGATCGCTACGAAATGGACCAATTAAAAGCCAGTCAATAAGAATGGTGATAGCAAGTCACCCCTTTTTATCGCAGAGCAGAGCTTAATTAAAAGCAGCTACTCTAATTAGCCAATGACGAGGGAGCTCGCCAAGTGCGGTAGTGTGAGTTGGCTTGGTCGTATTTAATTGGGGAGTAGAAGTGAACGAATAAAACGAAAAATGTTAACTCCAAGCGAAATAAGCCGAACGAACAGAGAACAGAAAAGCAGAACAGTGAACAGCAAGCGGTAATTAAGCAAAAACAATGATGACGATGACAGTGAAAGAGAGTTCAATGGCTTGCATAGCTCTCTTTCTTGGTTAAATCTCGGAAGATGGAACAAAAACAGTGAAATCAGAAACAGAAGAAGAGTAAGGCAACACAGTACAGCGATTTGATTGGTCGGGTGTTGTCGCCGCATCTTCTATTCTCTTCTCTCCTCATTTCGTTTCTACTCTCCTAAAGCTACTCTCCCCCATACATCCACACCTGCAGTGGAAACCCCCATTTATTTTATTGCTTGCTTGTGTATGTGTCTCGGTGGGTGCGGGTGGCTGTTTGTGTGTGCTTAGTAGAATAGAGTTAATTGCCGCCTTTCGTCGGGGGTGTCGTCACTGGTTGGGGAATATAGCCAGCCGCCACACGTGATTCGTTGGCGGCGCTTTGAGAGAGCGCGAAGCTTATGCTGCGATTTGCCAAAAATATTAATTAAGAGAAGCTGACCAATTAAGTGGACACTTTCTTTACCAGCATTGCATTTGGCTTGGATCCATTTCTTTGCACTCAAACCCTGTGTTAACATATGTATAAAATGTGTACATATGTGTGTGATTTGAGATGAGAACCAATTAAAGGAAGTTTTTTGGTAAATAAAAGGACAAATTAGTGCATGAGCGGAACCACCTAAATTTTGTTTGTTTGTATATACATATATGTACATTTATCTTTTAATTGAGTTTTTTACACCCATATAAGTTTATATATATACACACACATGTACATTTAAATGTATGTACCGTTATAATGTATATAAAAAAGAAATCATCATCCCCTTTAATCAGAGCCCGCCAGTTTTTTCGCTTTCTTCACCCCAACAACAACGATAGCTTCCTTGCTTCCTTCCTGTATTTCAGACGGATAAAAAGGCAAATTTTCAGAAGGAAAGAAAACGGACAAAATAATCGATAATGCTTGAGCGAAACGAAATTAAAATAAGAAAAAAAAAGGAAGACAATATAAACAACGAAATGGAGAATTCCTTCTACTGAAATTGTAGGCATACGTATGCACATATGTATGTATCGAAGTATCCATGTATACATGTACTTACATATATAAATATTATGGTGTGAGTGTATGTATACAGACATGTATATTTTGATTGCTCATGTTACTTTTTTTCTGTTTGTATGGGGTTGAAGAGAGGTATCTTAGAAGTATTGTATATTTGTGTATATACAAATGCAAATGAGTTGAGAGCGGCTATGTACGTAGATACATACATACATACATATATGTATAGATTTGCGCGCTTTTTTTACTTATTATGTACTTAGATATGTACGTATGCATACAATTAAGTACACTCTTGGTAAAAATTAAATCTAGTTAGAGATGAATCTTTACATGGAAATATTTTGAAGCCGACAGAGAAGTAAAGGAATTTGCATATGTACATACATATATTAATATTATATATTAATAGATATATATATAGTAATAATAATTATTAATATAATTGTTAACCTATTTGAATATATTATTTGTATAATATGTATTGTACATGTAATTAAATTTAGATAAACATGGGGGAATATATATACATACATAAAAAAAAACAACGTTCTAAGCAAGGAAAATGTAAAAAAGTAAAACGTATAAAGACAAAGAAAATAAAAGAGCCAGAAAGAAATTTTCCAATCTTCGTTTTTTGCGAGACCGATGTGTTCGCGTAATTGTGTACTTTATATTATGTTCCATCTCCTTTTCTCATACGCGTCATTTACCCATCATGGCCCCTCTCATTTTCTTGTCTCTTTTGCACTCCACTGCCCACACTCGCCGCGACCCACACTCACCCACACCGAGTTTTGCTTTGCTGCGTTGCCATAAGAGACGATGACAACAACGAAAAAACCCTAGTTAGAGGAGGCGCTACAAATATGCAGAAAAGAGACACCATCACCTGCAGAGAGGAAGAGAGGCTGAAGCTAAGGAGAGGCAGCAGCGTAAAGCCAAGGCATAAGGAGCGCATTATGTATAAATTATTTATTTACATTTACATTATATTTGCACTCGCGCATTGCCCATTGGAATGAGTAGGGCCGTTGTGGGCGTTACGATATTATTTCTCTTGGGACGAAGATGAACGATGGATGGACGGGTCTCTGTCGCTCGTCGCCACATAGTCTCCAGGTCTCTCCATTCTCCAGCTTCTAACTGCGAGACTGCGATATCTAAAAATCCTCTAGCTGTGTATGTATGTGCGAGAGGGCGCCACATACAATTACAAATTACAGTGTGTGGAAATGCGTGCACTTGAAAAGGGGTTACCCACACAGCAACAATAACAAAGCCGTGCAGCAGCAAATAAAGGAAAATAGAAATTAGCAACAACAAAAAGTAAGCCCGAAGTCTAAAACCGACCACGAACAAGAAGCGAAGTTGGTTCTTTGTAGTTCAGGGGAGGTGTGGGGTGAGGTGGTAGTAGGGTTTTGGTTTGAGGACTGGAAAACCAGTTTTAATCGTTTCTGCTATTTTCTCATCGCAAATTTCTCCAAATGGTAAACTACTGATTTTTCTCCAAGAGCGTACGGCTGTAGACTGAGAAGAAAACAAACAGACCACTACTTCCTCTTACGCGTTCTCTTGGATTCTGCCCCTGTGTGTTAATATTAATTAAATTAAGAGTTTCGCTCTCTCCCGCGTTTGCTCTCTCGTAGCGTACTGTGCTGCATCTCTTTCTGTCTTATTTATATACACTCACGCATACAGACATGCATATATACTTACATAGGAAGAGCGAAATGAGCGAGATGGAGAGTGGCAATGATTTAGTCGTTTTCATTGTTTTTGTTGTATAAAGTGTGGGGTGGTGAGCTAGCTGCTGCTGATGCTACCGCTGCCACTGCTGCCTCGTTACTTTCCTTTCACTCTCGCGGGCTCTCAATTATTTTAGCTAGCTTTGTGTGTAGTATGTATGTGTAGGTGTAGGTGTAACCCTAATCCCGAACGCTGTGTGCTGCGCGTCGCGTCAATGAATGTGGATTGTGGATCTGGCTTTGGCTTTGCGAATGAGAAGATGTGTGTGTGTGGATGACGCCCAAGTAAAGAACAAATAAGCGCGCGCGCTGTGAATAGGCGTGGCGTAAAAAATGAACCCGATGCTGCAGACTGCTGACTGTAACTTTGATTGCGATACAAAAATCTGCATATCATATATGTAATTGCCAGCCATTAAATGTCTGCTGCCCCGCGCATGTGTGTACCAATACATACATTCATATGTACTTTGGCAAATCTCTACACTTTGAGTCTCCGGCTCCGGCCCCCTCATATGCAAACCATCATGCATGCAAGCTCTTACATACATACATACATACATGTGTCCCCTTTCCCATCCGATCTCTCATATTCTACAAACAGGAAAGTGGCACATAAATCGCACTGAGCAGGAGTGTACGTGTGTGACGGTGTGAACAGTGAGCATTTCGCAAACACACACACATGCCGCATAACATCTTCTGATTGGTCGTTTAAAATGTAAGCTGCTCCAGCAAAACACCGCCCCACCCACACCTCCCCCGCCGCGTCTTACCAGGCCTTCCTTCTCTCCCCTTTTGCCGAGACTGCATTAATTACGATTCCCTGACAAATACATACAAACACAGACAGGCAGCAGCATCGTTTGGAGTATTTTAATTGGTCAACCGTTTGTTTAGGGAGTTCCAACGAGATGGAATGATTGATAATGAAATCAAAATTCTCGCATACATATTTAAACATGTATATTATTTAGTTTAAAAGGTTTTATATAATGTATTAATATTGAAATATATTAATTTGTAAATGTAAATTTGTAATGTAAATTTAGAGCTTCATTTGTAAATTTAAAAACCTAAGTTAAGGTCAAAAGTGTCCAAGTTATGTCAGTTTTTATTTTATTTTCCAGAGTATTATAATTTTAGCCAGAAGTTTGCAAAAGCAGCGAAGGAGACATTTCCGACCCCATGAAGTATATTTGTATACTCTTGATCAGCATCAATAGCCCAGTCGATCCAGCTATGTC